AGGAGTGATAGGGAATGGCAAAGGACACACTGACAAAGAAGATTAATCAGAACTGGCTTTGACAAGCACTGTGGCATTTGGACAAGAACAAACTGGGAGGGGGGTAGAGAGAATAGTGCAACAAGGAATGAATGGAAACCCAAAATCTCTGTAAATGTTTATGAAAATTAATAAAATATAGAAAAAAAAAGAACACTTGCTTTATTCTGGTTTTAAGGAACAATGGGATGGGACGAGTTAGGTGTGAAACGCCCACTAAGGATTGCAAGAGTATTGATGAGTTGTGCCAAGAAGCATGGCACTGGTCACCGGGGGCTCAATGTCAGCAGAGACAGAGAGCAGGGGTGCAGGGCTGGGGCGCTGAGGCCAGGTGGAGATGGAGAGAAAAGAGGTGACACCTCCAGAAACTGGTAGAGGAGCTGACTGACACAAAGAATAAATGCAAACTAGCTCTGGTGGCCTATGGTGGGCTAGTGGGTAAGGAGCTGTGCTGCCAACTTGAAGGCACTCGGTTTGAATCCACCAGCTGCTCTGCAGGAGAAAGATGGGCAATCTCCTCCCATGTGGTTTACAGCCTCTGAAAACCTGCTGGACATAATAACAATACTTCATTAATTAAGTACTTCCTCTCTATCAGGGGCTATTATATGGTTTAAAATCAGGAAAATATGCATCTATCAAGGTTGCATTCTTTCCCCATACCTATTCAATCTGTATGCTTAGCAAATAATCCAAGAAGCTAGACTCTATGAAGAAGAATGTGGAACCAGGATTGGAGGAGGACTCACCAACATTGTGTTGTGAAGATAATACAACTTCACTTACTAAAAGTAATGATGATGATTTGAAGTACTTGTTGGAGAACATCAAAGATTACAATAATATTAAGTATGGATTATTTTTCAACCTCAGAAAACAAAAATCTTGACCACTGTACAAATAAGCAACGTCATCTTGGTAAGTGGAAAAAAGACTGAACTTGCCAATTATTTAATTTAACTTGGATCCACAATCAACATCCTTGGAAGCAACAGTTAGAAATCAAAAG